GATGCGCCGCGCGCGAAGTGGGCGGGGTGACCTAGTTTCGACGGACACGCGCAACGGACGTTCTCCATGGAAATCAGTTGCATGGGAGCTTCCATCGAAAGCGATTGATTAAGACAAAAAACATTTGGGAAATGAAAACGTAGTTACGTCTGTAATTATACATAATGTACCTAAAAATACATGTAACACCATATGCCCGGACCTTTCAAGAAAATTTGAGGGCAGATAATGTCGCACTGATAGTTGAAAGTTTTGCACATGAACTTCCGCAAAGTATACCTACTAATGGTAGTTAGTCGGGTTGATTGAGCATTTCAGAAAAAAAGGAAACAATTTTTGCTCCTACACTTATATACTTGATAGTCCGACTCTGAAAAATAGGATGTTTTTTAATTGTAGACAATCGTCGAGAAGCTTGTGCGAGCAAGTCACATCCTCACGAGGAAATCTGGATCTGTTATTCATAAGGTAAGCAATTATTCCTCAAGATTGTAATGAACCTAAGAGCACAGACACTTGTATCCATTAAAGACACAGTTCACGATCAGAATGGTTTAGAAAGGTTCCTCCCTAAGATCCATCATCCCAAGGATAGCACAAGGGACACAGGGACGAAAAACGGCTAGGTAGGACGTAATAAGAACCCAAAAATCGACTTCGTCGACGTACACGCCTCGGACGAGTTCTCACGAAGTCGTAGAGATTGTAGTGGTCGCACCACTTCGGGAGACGGGCGTAAGGAACGATTTTGGGTAATCGGTTTGCCGCACGCGGCTGTCGGGGACCACTCATTCGCCGTTATTACAGCTCTAGCGTTCTTCATACAGCTCAATCGATATACGATCGCTATTTTATGCATAATTCTACTATTAGTACTTTTGCTCTTGTATTTCTTGCCTACTGCTGCATCCTGCTACATTCCTTCGCGCGCGACGCCCCTCTCACCGCGACGCGACCATTTCGTTCCTAACGCACCACACCCCACCACTTCCACCGGGACGCACACTTTTGACACACGCAGCTTACTCTGTTCAACTGTATGCGATTGCACACACATTTGGATCTCGTTCAACTACCACTTCCATGCAAGTTATGTCGTCACACTCTCTCCAGCCCCTAATTATTTATTATTTTATTTTTCGCTGCCTTTGCATTATTCTGGATTATTTATCCCATCATTCGTCTAGAATTCGATACCCTAAAATTATCGTCAAATGTGCCTTCAAGTGACGACATCGAAGATGGATAAATCATTTTTGAAATCTATTTATTTGTATATTTTGAATCCCGCATATAATCTCGATCATGGTACCAGTAATCGCTGATTAAGCCCTATATATATTATCGCAGCAATGATATAAATATGTAATATTTGGACCCTTGCAGAACCAGAAGGGATCAAGATCGCTGAAATTGATGGCTTCTCGTCTAGCGGCCCGACAAATGATCGATGGGCACACCACGGACAGCCAGATAAAGAAAAGCCTAAACCATACGTAATTATCCGAGAAAACCAGAATTGGTAGGAATTAGCTCTACTCCATTTATACTTAGCGTCGTTAGAAAACAAAAAGATAACGGACTATAGACAGTCTTCAAAGAAAAAAAGCCATCATAAGATGGGTGTTGAAGAAGGGAAATAGCGACAAAGAACTCGGGGC